TGCCTCCCGGGTTTATGCCATTCTCCTGCCTCAGCCTCCCGAGTAGCTGGGACTATAGGCGCCCGCCACCTCGCCCGGCTAGTTTTTTGTATTTTTTAGTGGAGACGGGGTTTCACCATGTTAGCCCATGTTGGGATGGTCTCGATCTCCTGACCTCGTGATCCGCCCGTCTTCGGCCTCCCAAAGTGCTGGGATTACAGGTGTGAGCCACCGCGCCCGGCCCAGACACTCCTCTTTAATCTTTTTTTTTTTTGAGACAGAGTCTCACTCCATCACTCAGGCTCGAGTGCAGTGGCGCTGTCTTGGCTCACTACAACCTCTGCCTCTCGGGTTCAAGCGATTCTCCTGCCTCAGCCTCTGGAGTAGCTGGGACTACAGGCGCGCATGCCACCATGCCCAGCTAATTTCTGTATTTTTTTGTAGAGACAGGGTTTCACCACGTTGGCCAGGATGGTCTTGAACTGCTGACCTCAAATGTTCCACCTGCCTCCACCTCCCAAAGTGCTGGAATTACAGGTGTGAGCCACTGCACCCGGCCAGCCTCCTCTTTAATCCTCACAGCAACCCAGAAGTGGGTTGTCTCCCATTTCACAGACAAGAAAACTGAGACACAAAGCAATGTGTCCAAAGTGGCATAGGTAGGGAGTGTGAAACCCCCAGGACAGCAGAAGGCCTTTCCACCCTGTCCAACCCGCCTGTACCCTGGGCCCTGAGGCCATTTCTTCCCAGAGAAATAAGCTTCTTTCAGTCTTTTTCTCACCGACCACAAAGACTCAGCTCTGTCCTCAGAAATATTTGGAAACTTTTATTTAAATGTTTTGTGTTCCCTTTTAACCACCACCAAAAAGAGAAAAAAAATTTTTTTGCCGTTCCAAACGGGAGAATCGCTTCAGAGAGGAGCTGGCATGCGTGTTCAGAGCCCAGGAGTGTGAGCCCTGCCAGGTGGCTCTTCCTGGCCTGGGCCACGTCGGGTAGGATGGCCACCCAGGCACCAGCTTCCTGGGACCCCCGTGGCCTTGGAGTGAGTGAGCGAGGCCTTGTCCTGAGGAGAAAGACCTCATCTCCCCTGAAGAAGGGCTGGGCCTGAGGACAGGGACATGAGCATGGTAGGGCCTGGGGGGGTTCTAGAGGGAAGGAGATGAGAGTGGAAGGGTCAGATCCGGAATGTTCCATGGAGGCTTCAGGGCCTCTGGGTCTGGAGAAATATGTTTGCTAGAAAAATAAGAGGCTTTGAGAATTTCTGCAGTCTGTGCTCTCTGCTTGCCCAAGAGAAATCTACCCTGTTGGCCAAAGGGCAGCGGGGAGGAAGCAAAGGCTGGAGGCCAGAAGTGGGTTTGGCCCTCGGGGAAGATTCCAGAGGGGAGCGAGGTGGGCGGCAGACTTTGGTTTCCTGGGTCCCCTTTCTCGCAGTTGCAGAGGCTGAGGAGGCCCCCACCTCCCTGCCCCTTGTGGGGTGGGCTGCCGGGCGGTGGGCAGCCCTGGGGAGTGGGAAGTTGGCGTGTCACGGGCTCGTGGGTGCCCGGGCCCTGGGCCCTCAGAACAGAATGCTCAGGGGGAAGAGGGCCAGGGGGAGCAGCAGGGGGCCTGCAGCAAGGCTGCCTGCCGAGCTGGCAGGGGCACAGTGGTCGAGGTTGGCCCCGATGCAGGCTGCATACGCCATCACGTGGGGGATGTAGTTCTGCTCATGGACGCCGTGCAGCAGGTGTGCCATGGGGCCCTTGGAGAAGACGGCCACATCCTCCCCGCCGTGGGTCTCGTGGCGCAGGGGCACAGCAGACTGCGCCTGGTAGTTGTTGTGAGCTGTGGGCCAGGAGAAACGCCTGCTGAGAGCCTGCCAGGGGCCTGGCGCTGCGCACGCAGCTTTTCCATCCCCCTTTCAGGCTGGCTTGAATGCTCCCATTTCATAGAAGAGGAAAAGGAGGCTCAATGTGGGAAAGTCATTTTGCCTAAGGCCACAGGATTTGAATCTGAGCCTGTTCTGACATAGGAGTCTGCATCCTCAACCCCCAACAGAGAAAGTTAACCTCATTGGGGCTGCTTGGATCAGCAGGGAGAGTTGAGAGGGAGACTCTTACCATTGCTGCATCTTTAGACCCCCTGGAACCACTGGGAGTATCAAGAACAAATGAAGGATATGGGATGGGATGAACTAACTGCAAAGTCTTGTATACTGGAATATTAAAGAGCCAAGAAAAATGAGTATAAAATATCGAGCACCTACTTCTGCCAGGCACTATGCTAAGCTCATCAGACCCATTTGGTCCTTCAGACAACCTTCGAAGGTAGAAGAACCCTTTTAGAGAGGAAACGGCCGCAGAGAAAGGTGAAGTCACATGTCCAAAGTCTCAGAGCTGCTAGACTGTAGAAGGCAATTCAAACTGAGGTTGTTCTCACTCAAGTCCCAGTCATTCTGAGACCCCTGATCTTGACCACAAGCTGACACCCTATTCCCAAGCCCCTCCCCGAGGGGTGCCCTGTCCCCTCCCAGCCCTGGGTCCTGGAGGGTCTCACCATAGTCCACCATGGAGACATTCTCTCGTTCACCGCCCACCACCTTGTAGCCGGGCCCATTGCCATACAGGATGGCAGTGAAGGGCTTCTTGTCTGTGTCACTCAGCATGGGGGCCAGACCTGCACAGGGAGGGGGTGTTCAGGGGTCATGTTGGGGTACCAGGAGTACAGTCCCCAGCCCCCAGATTGGGCTTCTTGGTGGCTTGGTAACCCCTGGGATCTTCTCTGAAGGGCCCCACAATGCCTCCATGAAGCTACCTTATTACTTCCAACTAACCATTCCCCAGTTCCCATTGTACTCATGTCCCTCCCATTCATCTGTCCATCCATCATCCATCCATCAATCCATCCATCCATCATCCATCCATCATCCATCCATCCATCCATCCATCCATCCATCCATCCATCCATCATCCATCCATCCATCCATCCATCCATCCATCCATCCATCCATCCATCCATCCATCCATCCATCCATCCATCCATTATCCATCCTCCAGCCATCCATCCATCCATCCATCCATCCATCCATCCATCCTCCAGCCAGCCAGCCATCCTCTCCCCCATTCATCTATCCGCGTTCTCGCCCAGCCATGTTCAATGTGGCCATCCATCCACCCACCTGCCTGTCCACCCGACCACCACTCAACTCACTCCCCCACCTCACCCTGTATTTTCTCACCATCCCAGTCACTCTCCCTCCCCACCCCGTTGTCATCGAGTCCCTACCATGCTCTGGGCTTGCTGGCTCTCCCACCCACTCCTGCTCCCAAGTGGGTAGACAGGAGGCCCCAGGAGTGTCCACCCCAAAGAAGGCCCGCCTACCAAAGATAGAGTTGCCACGGGGGGTGTATCCACCAAAGGTGAAGACATGGGAATGGTCCGCGGTGACCACGGTCAGAGTGTCTTCCAAGGAGGTCATGCTGCCTGCCTGCCCGATGGCCCGGTCCATCTCTACCGCCTCGTGCAGGGCCTGCTTGGCTTTGCCTTCATGGTGCCCGTGGTCGATCCTGCCTCCTTGGGACACCAAGGCAAAGGCCTCGGGTAAGAGAGGAGGGGAGGAAGATCTGCTCCCCGGCCCCGGCCCCACGACACTGCTGCTGGATTAACCTTTGTTAGCTAGGGAAGGACAGGAACCTTCACTGGACACCACTCCGTGCTAGCACCACCGCCTAGGCATTTCACGCAGTCATTCGACCTGATGGAGCCCAGAGAGGGACAGCCCTGGGGCCAAAGGCACACGCATGGGGGCTGCAAAGCCCAGATGTGTAATCAGATCCACCAGGCCGGGAAGCTATGCTCCTCCCACCGCCCCTCCCAGCACTGTCCCTAGCTGCTTGAAGGAGGCACTGAAGCCTTTGGGAGGTAGTGAAGCGGGCATGCTGGAATCCCTACAACAAGCCAGGCATGACACACCCATGTTTCTTTTCCCCTGAACAGCAGTGCTGGGAGAGAGGAATATGATCAGTCCCATTTACAGATGGAGTCAACTGACGCCTAGCGTGGGGAGGCCCACGGTGGGATTTGCCGGGATGTGAATTCAGGTGTGACTCGTCCTAACCCCGTTTTTCATCTCTACCTCAAATCATCCCCTCTAAAAAGAAAGCATGGAGCTCCCAGAGGTGGCGAAAGTCCCCAGTGCCTGGGCAGTGCCTGTGGCAGGTTCCACAAAGCCCTGCCGAAACCTGAACCCCCTGCTGCCTCCGCCCCCACCTCCCACCCCCGGGTGAGTGCAGGGGCCTGGCTGGAGGCTTGGCCCAGCAGCCCAGGGCTCTGTGACCTTAAAGGAACACCTCCCTCTCTAACAGGAGGGCGCTGTCTGGTGGACGCTCCCAGCTTGGAGGGTCCCGGGCGCCAGGCAGCCCTCTGTTCCCCACCAGCCTGAGCCTCATGGCGGGCTGGCCGGCTGGCAGGGCGGGTCCTCCCTTTGTTGTGGCTCTGGGAGCAGCTGGCCTGGCCGGCCCATTCTGGCCTTGCTCACAAAGGGAACTGCTCCCGGGGGAGCCCGTGCTCGCCACCGCTGGTTTCTGGCTGGCTCCTCGGCGTCAGAGGCCTGTTCGGGGCCAGGCCGAGACCGCTGTGCTTGAATGGGAACCCCGGGGTTTGGCAAGAAAGCAGCCAAGCTGGGCTGGCAGACACTCGCCTCTGGAAGGCGGAGGGGCTGAGCGTGTGTGTATGCGTGGGGAGCATATGTGCAAACATACTCGTGTGTGCATGTGCGTGTGTGTATACATACCGATGTCAGCAGGGCAACATGAGGAACCGCGGTGGGCAAGGGCTGTTAGCACTGGAAGGTTTCTGGAATCTTTATCACTTCCTCACACTTCCTATTGTTCCCGCCTTAACTATTGTGTAGCCATAAGACTAATAATAGAAACACAGGGTTTATTCTTTACTGGGTCCCGTTCCAAGTACTTTATGTCTCTGAACACATTGGAGGTGAATCACTCTCCAGGAGACAGATGCTATTTTTGGCTTCACTTAACAGAAGCGCACAGGTAGAGGTCACACCGCCAGCAGATGGCAGCGCCAGGCCAAGAATTCAGGTCTGTCCGTAAGGCCCCTGGACGGCGCTCGAGGAGCCTGGGAATGTCAGCGCACAGCGTGGGAAAGCCGGAGCCTGCGGATTTGCCTTTCCGGGCAGTGAGGTTGAGGGGCTGCTTGCCCCTCCAGGGCCAGGTCTCCAAGAAAGACTACCAAAGGGGAGAAATCTGCCTCCTCTCCCAGGAAGCCTTCCTGGACTGGTGAACCTGACTTGCATCTCTATGCCCAAAGGAGAGCAGCGAGCCACCTGTCTCCTTCCGCAACCCATTTTCCTAAAGGGACCTCTCCCTTCACCCCCAAACCCAGTCAGTTCCCTTTAAGAGCTGGACTTCTCCATCCCCTGACACCAGGGCCGTGTTTCCAGCAGCCCCCTCTCAGCAGACCCAGGGCTCCTACCTTCCACCAGCAAGAAGAAGCCTTTGGGGTTCTTCCGCAGGATCTGGATGGCCACCACCACCATCTCGGAGAGTGACGGGTCCGTCACGTTGTTCCTGTTCAGCTCGTACTCCATGTCCCCCGGCTCAAAGAGACCTGAGGAGGACACCAGGAGGATGCGGATGCTGAGAGGCTGTGACCCTGCTAGGAGGACCCCAAGGAACTTGGGGTGTCTCAGGGGACGCAGGCTCCCCACAGCCAACTTGGGGATAGAGTATGGTGGCTGGGAGGATCCTTATCTGGGTGATTTTTGTGGGCCCAGAATTGGGCCCCCAATTCCTTTTTTTTTTTTTTTTTTTTTGGAGACAGAGTCTCACTCTGTTGTCCAGGCTGGAGTGCAGTGGTGTGATCTCGGCTCAGGCTCACTGTAACCTCTGCCTCCTGGGTTCCAGTGATTCCCCTGCCTCAGCCTCCCGAGTAGCTGGGATTACAGACATGCATCACCACACCGGCTAATTTTTTTTTGTATTTTAAGTAGAGACAGGGTTTTACCATGTTGGCCAGGCTGGTCTCAAACCTGACCTCAGGTCATCCACCCTCCTCGGCCTCCCAAAGTGTTGGGATTACAGGAGTGAGCCTCCGTGCCCAGCCCCAATTCCTTTCATCTTTACTCCCACCACTATGGCGTGGCGGGATCGCCATGCGCTTTTACAGAGGAGGAGCACTAAGGCCCAGAGGTGTTCCATAACTTGCTATTGTCAGCTGCAAAGGGGCAGATCTGGGGTTCAAATCCATCAGTCAGTCTGCCTCCAACCTGCAGGGCTCAGCACACAGGACTATGGCCCCAAGGCAGTGGGCCACAGCCTGGACTCGATGGGGCTGCTAGGGTGTGTGTGCATTTACATGTTGGGTTTGAAGGGCATGGTGGCCTGTGCAGCAAAACAGCAGAAGGTTTGGAATCATTGTCCCCCCCTGCTCACTGGGCTCCGTTTTCTCACTTGTGACATAAGGAGAATGATCTGTTTCTTGCCCATGGCACAAAATTCCCTGTGTCCTATGCTGGTGCTTCTGATTCTGGTGTCCTTCCAGAACATCCTGTCCTCTGTGAACGGGTACACAGCCAAACAATAGCTCCAGTGCATACAGCGTTTACTTTGTGCCACATGCTGTGAGCGCTTTGGAGCAGGCAAAAGCTAGCCTCCAAGATGGTGCCTAGTAACCCCTGCCCCCTGGAATTCACACGCTTGTGTGGTCTCCTTCCACAATAGTCTTTATATGCAATAGAATGCCACTGAAACGACATTTCAGTGAAATGAAATGACATTTGTATGATCTCCAAGGTTGGGGCATAAAATGCTGTAGCTTCTGTGTATATACTCTTGGATCTCTGTGGGAAGCCAGCCACCACGTGACGAGGACACTCAAGCTGCTCTACAGAGAGCAATCTGCCAAGGAACTGAGGCCTCCTGCTAACAGCCAAGACCAACTCGCCAGCCATGGGAGTGAACCGTCCAGGAAGGGCCAGCCCCAGTCAAGCCTTCAGATGACTACAACCTCATGGGAGACCCAGCTAAGCTGTCCCCAGATTCCTGACCCAAAGAAATTGAGTGAGGCAATAAATGTCTACTCTTGTTTTAAACTGTTAAGTTTTGTTTTGTGACAGGATCTCACTCTGTTGCCCAAACTGGAGTGCAGTAGCATGATCATAGCTCACTGCAGGCTCGAACTCTTGGGCTCAAGCAAGCCTCCCACCTCAGCTTCCTGAACCACCACACCTGGTTTCTTCTTTTCTCTTTCTTTCTTTCCTTTCTCTCTCTCTTTCTTTCCTTCCTTCCTTCCCTCCTTCCTTCCTTCCTTCCTTCCTTCCTCTTTCTTTCTTTCCTCTCTTTCTCTTTCTTTCTTTTAGATAGGGTCTTGCTCTGTCACCCAGGCTGGGGTGCAGTAGTGCAGTGGCATAATCACAACTCACTGCAGCCTCAACCTCCTGGGCTCAGGTGGATCCTCCTACCTCAGCCTCCTGAGTAGCTGGGACTAAAGGTGTGCGCCACCACACCTGGCCAGTTTTTAAAAAATTTTTTGTAGAGTTGAGGTCTCGCTATGTTGCCCAGGCTGGTCTCAAACTCCTGGGCTCAAGTGATCAACCTGCCTTGGCCTCCCAAAGTGCTAGGATTACAGGTGTGAGCCATTGCACCTGGCCTAAGTTTTTGTTTGTTTTTTGTTTTGAGACAGAGTCTCGCTCTGTCGCCCAGGCTGGAGCGCAGTGGTGCGATCTCGGCTCACTGCAAGCTCTGCGTCCCAGGTTCACACCATTCTCTTGCCTCAGCCTCCTGAGTAGCTGGGACTACAGACACCTGCCACCACGCCAGGCTAATTTTTTGTAATTTTAGGAGAGACGGGGTTTCACCGTGTTAGCTAGGATGGTCTCGATCTCCTGACCTCGTGGATCTGCCCACCTCGGCCTCCCAAAGTGCTGGGATTACAGGCATGAGCCACCGTGCCCGGCCTGCACCTGGCCTAAGTTTTGAGATAATTTGTTACACAGCAACAGATAACTTATACAACACAAGTTCATGTCATGCTCATGACAACCCAGGGGTTGTCTCCAGCCCTGTCACTATCTCCATTTTATGGGAGAGTCACTATTCCTACTTTATAGAAGAGGAAACTGAGGCAGAGAGAGGAGAAATCACTTGCCCAAGGTCACACAGCTTAGAGGTGGTAGAGCTGGATTTGAACCCGGCACTCTGGCTCTAAGATCCATGAGCAAAACCAGCAGGATACACGGGTGCATGCACAGCCTGTGTGATACTGGGTATGTGCCGTGTGAGCCAGGCAAGCAAGAGGCTGTGTGTATGTGTCTGGAGGACCCACCAGGCGCACAGCTCTGAGCCCATAACCTCTAATGACACCCAGGACGTGCAGCTGTGTTCCTTGGGAAATGTCTGCAGGAGATTTTGCAACCACTTGCTTGGCACTACAGGCAGCTGGAAAAGAAGACCCAGATAGCTGCGTGGTGGTGCTCAGGGCCTCATCCCACCAGACCTGAAGCTGCCCCTGTGCCCTCACCACCTGCTCCCCACTGCCTGGGGAGGAGGGCAATCATCAGGATGGGCAGAGATAACCTGGCTAGCTTCTGCCCTGTCCATGCACACAGTAGAGCTGACTCCAGGTCCCAGGCTCCGTAGCCCAGGAGCCATTAAGTCCCAATTCCCAGCCAGGGATCCAACTTGCCTGGGCCGTACCCCTGTCGGCTGTGCCACATGCCGTGTGCCACTCCCCTCTTTGAGCTTCAGTTTCTTCTTGTGCGCAATGGGGCTAATCCCCCTGCACAGCCAGCAGATTTCAGGCCTAATTCCAGGAATCAGAACCCCCTTCCTTGCTTCTCCCAGGTCCTGGAGCCCAAGGGTAGAGGCCCCTAAGTGAGTGTCAGGCTGGGGCCTTGTCCCCAGGTGCTGGCCACACACAGCCTTGGCCACCAGGCTCCAAGCCATGCATCCTCCACTCCACTCCCTCCACTTACCCAATAGGTAGTCCACATTGTGGGGGTCAAGGGTCAGGAGTTCCGTGCGGTTCCAGATGAAGTGGGAGTGCTAGGAGGAAGGGCTGTGTCAGCACATGCCGGGAGCTAGGGAGAGTCGGAAGGACTGACCCCAGCAGCAATCGGAGTCTGAGGCCTTTACTTATTTCCTTCCTTCACTTAAAAATCCCTCCCTGAGGACCCACCATCCCTGACCTCAAGAAATGATGAATCAATAGCACGTTATAATGTATAATGCAAGGGAATGAGAATTCTGATAGAGCCCAGGGAGGCCGTGAGCCCAGACACAGGACCAGGGAGGGCTTCCTGGTGGAGGTGATGTTCTAATGGGGCCCTGGAGGACAAGTGGGAATTTAACAGCCTGGGGTCAGGAAGGCTATCCCAGGAGGGAGGGATCACGGGGCAAAGAAGAGCCAGGCACAGGTCTCCAGAGGCCTTGAGGGCTGACAGGGCTGGGCTGTGTTTTCTGGGGGCCGTGGAGTCCCAGGGAGGAAGCAAAGCCCTAGTTCTGCTTTGGGGGCCCCATCTAGGACGGGAGATAAAGGTGGGGCTGTTTCCCCAGGGAATAAAGTCCATGGAAAGAAGCCAGCCAGGCCAGGCCTGGAGAGGACACCATGTTGGCCTGGACCAAGGGTCCCAGCACTGCCAAGGATCTGCTGTGTGCCCTTAGGAGACCCCCTGCCTTCTCTTGGCAATGACCATGGGATCAGTGGCTTTTCAAGCCTCAGGGGCTGTTGTGGGGAGCAGGGCGGAGAGGCTCAGAAAGTGGGGCTTTGCCACCCCCAGCCCCTGCTTCCTGGAGGTGACTCTCCTGTGCTCTCTGTCTCCAAGGTTGATCCCGTTACTCCCTCTTTACAGATAAGGGCAGTGAGGCACACAGACCATGTAGCCACCGAATGGTAAAGGTGAAACTGACTCTGAAACCCACTCTTAAGGCATGATTTTCTAGGGATGTGGGGCCTACATGGCACCTGACTGATACCCAATGTGGCCAGGCTTGGGGCCATGGTGTAGACGCTCTCTCCCCATCTTAGAGGCTTAGACCGAGCTCCAGGGTAAGCTGGGCAAGGAGGTTGAAACTCTGGCCCCATGTGCCACGTAGAGAAACTGAGGCTGGTGTCTCTCTGGCTTGAGCTGGGAGGGGGCTCTGGCCCAGCCTGAGCTGACTCAGAAGGGATGGAAAGGGTTCAAAGCCACTCAGTCCCACACCCCCACTGACCCCACAGGGCCCTTCCCTAGTCCCTACCCCCACCTTGTTCTTGGCTCAGCCTCATTCCACGAAGCCTCCCCAGGGGCCAGTCCTGGAACTCGCAGAAACCCAACCCCAGAGTGACATCAAAGTGGCTGCCAGGCTACTCCCCACTGTCTTCAGCCCTGACCACAGTCATTTCCAGACCCCAGCTGCCCCAGGCCCGCAGGCCAGCAGCTCAGATTTAAAGGGCCAGAGGCCGCTCCAAGGAGCCGGCGCTTGGGATCCTTCTGGAGGTGCCTCCAGCCTCCCTTCCCCGATCCATTCCGTCCCCCAGCCAAGGGGGACTCACTGTGGAGGGCTTCCCTGCTCCCTCTGTGGCTTGCACACTGGGGCCAACCATGTCCTCCCCTGATCCATACAGTGCTGCCTCTTCCCTCCGCCCTCCTACTTGCCCAGGGCTTCTTGGCCCCTCCTTGTGGTCTGTCCCCCCAGGGTGCCTACAGAGCCAGGCATCCCCCATGCAGGCACACAGCGTTCCATGTTTCCTTGGTCATCTGGCTCAGCCTCTGTCTCACGCATGCCCCACCAGGGGCCTACATATAATAGGTGCTCAGGGTGACTGAATGTCCACGCAGGTTATTCCCTGGCCCAGCCTCCTCCTCACCGTCCACCTCTCTCCCGTGTCCCCTCCAAGGGAAGGAAATGATCAGTCACCGACTATCTACCGCTTGTATATCTCTTAGTCCATTCGAGCCCCTGGAGGGAAGAATTCTGATGCCCTTTCTATAGAGGACAACAGAGCTTCAGAGTGGGGGTCACACAGCCTCTCACCATCAAAGGCCACCTCGGCAGCCACATGGCCCCAACACAGGCTACCTTGTGTCTCGGTTTGAAGCTCTTCCAGATGTTAACAAGGTCCAGGCCGTCCAGCCTCGTGCCCCTGGCTTTCTCGTCAATCTCATACTCCACATCAGTTTTATTCTTGGGGTACATGTATTTCCGGCCACCCCCCATGATCACCTAAAAGAGACAGGAGCCATCACTTCTGCAGGGTTCCAAGATGCCCAGAAGCCCCAGTGACCTCGGCTTGGAACCTGGACTCCTGGAGTCCCTGGGGACAGTGTGGATACTTTCCCAGCCTGGTGAGCCAGGCCTCAGTCCTCTCTGGGCCTTACTTGTCCACTGTGGGGAGATGAAACCATGAGTCTCTCGGGACTGTGGTTTGGCGCTTCTAGGGATATTGGAGGAGCTGATAACTTACCTTACTTGGCTTCCTGCAATCCACATAACTCCCACTTGAATAAGAATCAGACCATCAGATTTGGTATGAAGTTGAGTCAGAATGTATCTTAAATGTGTGTCAGGCACTAAACACTTAAGATACATTCTGACTCAACTTCATACCGAGGCTGCAACAAACCCTGGTCACCTGTTTTCCAACTAAAAAAATGGGCACAGAAATGGGTTTTTTCCCCTGAAGGCCACACAGCCAGGAAGTGGCAGATTCAGGATTCAAACCCAGGGCTTTTCCAGCTATGGCACTAGGGCCCTGCTGTATTCATGTAGCAGAGGGCAGGGACTCCCGGAGCCTCCTCTCCCACGGTGAGAGGCTGAATGCGTGCAGGGAGAGGCTCCAGCCAGGGAGGTCTTTGGGGCAGCCCACAGCTGGGAGCCAGTCCACCGCAGCCTGGGCAAACAGCGGGGCCGGGCCTCATGGCTGTGTAGTCACCACCAGGCTAATTTTACCCACCGGCTGGTGTGTGCGGGCAGACGAACGCGGGACTGTTTGTTTTCCTTGGGAGTCCATGTTTGAAGTCCTGACTATTTTTAAAATAGGGCCAAGAGCATAACAGCAGCCGCCTGCGGTGACCACCACACTAGTGTTCTCTTGTCACCGCGGGCGCCAGCCCGGGCCACTGCCCCTGGCTGACACCTTGGGAGTGCAGAGCCTGGCTGACACTGGGCCCAGATCCACCATTCCAGGCCTGCACCTCATGGGTCCCCTGCTCTATCCTCCACTCTGTCTCCCACCTTAGAACCTAGGTTTTGCAGAATGCATAGAGGGCCAGGAGTACAGAATGGCAGGAGAGGTGGGAAAGGTGCCCCAGGACCAGCCTGGATCCAGGCCATGGTCATGGCCATGAGCTTTGAAGTCAGATTTAGGTTTGAACCCTGACTCTATCACCTACTGATCAAGGGCCTGCCACCTAAACTCTCTGAGCCCAGTTTTCCTATCCATAAAATGCAACTGGCTGGGCGTGGTGGCTCATGCCTGTAATCTCAGCACTTTGGGAGGCTGAGGCAGGAGGATCACTTGAAGGCAGGAGTTTGAGACCAGTCTGGACAACATGGCAAGACCCTGTCTATACAAATAAAATTTGTTTCAAAAATTAGCCGGGCATGGTGGTACAGACTGGTGCTCCCAGCTATTCAAGGGACTGAGCCAGGAGGAGCACTTGAGCCCAGAAGGCTGAGACTGAAGTGAGCTGCGATCACGCCACTGCACTCCAGTCTGGGCAACAGAGCGAGACCCTGTCTCAAAAATAAAATAAAATAGGCCGGGCGCGATGGCTCACGCCTGTAATCCCAGCACTTTGGCAGGCCAAAACGAGTGGATCACCTGAGGTACAGAGTTTGAGACCAGCCTGGCCAACATGGCGAAACCCCGTCTCTACTTACAAAAAAAAAAAAAAAAAAAACTAGCCGGGCGTGGTGATGTGCGCCTATAATCCCAACTACTCAGGAGGCTGAGGCAGGAGAATCGCTTGAACCCGGCAGGTGGAAGTTGCAGTGAGCCAAGATCGCACCACTGTACTCCAGACTTAGAAACAGAGTGAGACTCCATCTCAAACGAAAAATAATGATAAATAAAATACAACTAACATCTATCCACAGAACCATCATAGGAGGAAAGGCAGTCACCCGGGGAAGTCCCCAGCACCCAGTGGGTGGCTGCCACTGGAAGGCATTTCTACTGCCAGTGGGGAGACAGGTGGTTCAGAGAGGCAGAGTCCTTGCTCTCCGCTGTAGCCAGGAGCTCAGGGAGCAGGGCAGGCTGGGAGGGGAAGGAGAAGGGGACCCCAGGTCACGGGTCCCTTGCCCCACCCCCCCAGCTGTTGCCACAGAACCTGACCTCTTGGCGTCTTCAGAGTGGAAACGAAGCCCCCAATCTTCCTGCAGGGAGCCTCATCGTTTCCAGCCCGGCAGCGACTTCACACGGGCTCATTAAACTTCCAAATAACAGACTTGCTGTTTGGCTTTGGGGTTTGGGTTTGTGTCTTTCTTTCTTTCTTTCTTTCTTTTTAAGCAACAGTATTTATTTTCAGGGTGGACACCAGGATTTTTGTTTCATGTACAGTCTGGGCACTGGGAGGCTTTTGGGGGGGTGTTGGTGATGGAGATGCAGGTGGGGCTGGGAGAGAAAGGAAGAGGAGGAAAGAAAGGGGTCCTCACACAGGTCCTCCCTCCTCATTCACTCCCTGGCTTGTGCCCCCTGACGTGGCCCCTGTGACCCCCCTCCTCATCTCCTACCCCCTCACCTGAAACATCTTCCCTCCCCTCCAATTTCCTTCAAGTTCCTGTCCCCTGCTCAGGCTGTCCCTGACAAACCCCTCTGAGGAGCAGTCCCCATGTAATTATACCCTGTGCCTGTATAACAAATGTTCTCACATCCATGACCTCATCACGGCCTCCCACGGCCCTGGGAGCAGGCAAGTGTGGCTCTCTGTTCCTGCTGCACAGGTGGGGAAACCGAGGCACAGGGAGGGGAAGGGACTCACCCCAGGCCATGTGTCGGGTGAAGGCAAGCCAGGATGAGTGGCTTGGCCTCAGATGTCTGCTCACTGAAAGGGGCCAACAGCACTGTGTGTCCTGAAAGGGGGTACTTCATCCACCATGCTGGGAAAAGGGCAGACATGGGTCTCTACTGTAGAGGGGCCAAGTGGCCCCCAGAAATTTGTGGGGGCAGTGTATGGAGGGCTGAAGGCAAGTGAGTTTGTCTGGTGGTGGAGAGAAAGAGGTGAGGCATAGCTGGGTGGGGGGGCTTTCTCTGCCCCTCACCGAATCCTCATTCCAGGCTCAAGGGGCAGAAGTCCCCAGATTGCCTCAGCAGTCCCCCACAGTAGGCAATAAAAGCCTGAAAAGGAACGAGCCGGGTGTTCTCACTGAAGAACAGAGAGTAGGCCGGGCGCGGTGGCTCACGCCTGTAATCCCAGCACTTCGGGAGGCCGAGGTGGGCGGATTACAAGGTCAAGAGATCGACACCATCCTACCTAACACGGTGAAACCCCATCTCTACTGAAAATACAAAAAATTAGCCGGGCGAGGTATCGGGCGCCTGTAGTCCCAGCTACTCAAGAGGCTGAGGCAGGAGAATGGCGTGAACCCGGGAGGCGGAGCTTGCAGTGAGCCGAGATCGTGCCACTGCACTCCAGCCTGGGCGACAGAGGGAGACTCTGTCTCAAAAAAAAAAAGAAAAGAACAGAGAGCAAGCGTCACATGGATGACTTCTGCCTCATGAGTCAGCTCAGTTTGTTGAAGTGTGTTTCAGGGCAAGGCCGTGTGGCTCCTGCATAAGTGCCACCACCTTCTGGGCACTCGCTAGGCCTCAGGTCTTGTGCTGAGCTCCACAGGGATTATCTTAATCAGTTCTTGGCATAAGCTTATGAGGCAGGCACAGTTCACAAAGGAGTTGTGAAAGGGAAGCCTCAGAGAGGTTAAGTAACTGACCCAAGGTCACACAGCTAGCAAAACGCAGGGCGAGGTCTGGAACTCGAATTTTAAACAAGAGAGCTGGCACTAACCAACCACTGTACACACCAGCTCTTCGCTGGGCATGCTGGTGGTTGAGTGTACAGAAATGTGCCCATCTGTGCCCATGTGAATGTGCAGGGCAGGCAGACGCCACTTGGCCACCACCACCTCCCTGTGTAGTGGGGGCCAGAGGTGGGCACAGCACCAGGTTCCAATTTATGGAATCATCCCTGGGTGCCTGGTTCTTGGGGTGTGGTGGTGGTCACATGAGGTTTCACCCCGCAGCCCCACCGCAGAGAAATCCCACAGTGCCTGCCTGCCCAACCGCAAATCCCCTAATGGGCTGGGAGCCTCCCAGGTGTGTGGGGAGCCAGGCCAGGCTGCTTTCTCCGGGCCAGCCTGGGCCTGAGGCCTCCTGCCCACCAGAGGCCCCGCCTTGCCCCGTCCTTGCCCGGCTGCCCCCGAGCACTCACGTCAATGTCCCTGATGTTATGCACGAGCTGGTAGGCGATGTCCTTGCAGCCCTGGCTCAAGGCCTCAGGAGGCATCTCGTTGTCTGAGTACCAGTCCCGGTCAGCTGAGTGGGCATAGGCGGCGCTGGGGGTGGCATGGTTCACTCTCGTGGTGGTTACAATGCCCACAGATTTCCCTGGGGTGCAGGAGGGGCAGGTTTGGCTTTATCCACAGATCAGGGTGTCCCAGCTGCCTCCTCCCTCCCCCTCCCCCTCCCCGCTAAAGACAGGCCCCCCTTCAGTTCGGAGGATTGCCTGGTCTCAGTCTCCCCACCCACAGCAGTAGGTGTCTGGCAGTGGCTGCTAAGTAGCTGAGCAGCTGGAACACTGCCTCTGGGACCCTCTCCCCTCATCCCGAAGGCCCTTGAGATGTGAGCACCCGGGCTGGAGTCCTCCCCTTCATCAAGGCGCCCACAGGACCCCTGAGGGATCTCAAGTGGACTGTGGCTCTGTCACCTGCGTGTTGGCCTTGTCACCTGTGTTTTGGCCTTGGCCCCTGACTAAAGCTCCTGGGGGCACGGGCTGGGCCTCCCAATTCTGAGGAGGGAAGGGGCGTGGCTATGGACTGCCCCCCACAGGCTAGCCCTGGGCTGACTTCTCCCTCCTCACACCAAACCTACGAGGGTTTTATGTTCCCACCCGTTTTATAGTCAAATGAAGAATCAACTCAGGGAAATGAACTGGGAGCAGAACCCAGCACTGAGTGAAGCCTGAACCCCCAGCCTCCCCTGTCATGGAAGGAACCCCATGGATATTACAGACTCCCAGACATCATAGCTGGGAGCCCCGCAGAGAAGCCTTCTCTAGCCCCTTCCCGTGACAGAGTCGGAAAGACTGAGGCCCGGACAGGCCATGAAGCTCACCCTGCTCCCCACTGCTCCCCGCACTCACCAGCATCCTTGGCCCAGCGCAGGATGGAGGTGACCTCGTTCCCCTGGGTGGTGTTGCACCGGGAACGCTCGGTGGCTGCGCTTACCCCCACGGTGCCCTCGTTGGCCTTCACCCCACACAGGTAGGCGGTGGCGGTGCCAGCGCTGTCAGGGACCTGGGCATTGGTGTTGTACGTCTGCAGGTGGGAGAGGAGGGTCAGGAGATGGCCAGGACTTCGCCCCTACAGCCACCCACCCCGCCTCCACTCACACCATGGGGACTGGGGCGTGAAGAACCAGAGAGGACCCCATAGCCTTGATCAGGCCCACCGAAGCCCCCAAGAGCCACAGGACTACCTATCTGCCTGCTTCCTGCCGTCATTCCCTGCACCCTGGCAGCACTGGGGCGGGACCCCAACTCTCCAAAGTACGGAGAAGTGTCCGGCAGAGGAGTGGGGCTCAGGTGGGGTCAGCAGTGGCCTCTCTCTGGGCCTGGGGCTGCAGGAGCCAGTGAGGGCCAGTGAGGGGAGCAGGGGAGTCCTGGAGAAGGGAGAGGGAGGGGCCTTCTTGAAGGAGTGGGGGTCCTAGGGATAGGATAGTGAAAGTGAGGGGAGGGGGACTGGGGAAGGGAAGGGTGGGGCCAAGACCAGCTCTGATTTCTCTGCCACCTGCCCTATGGCCACCCTCACAGGATTGCCCTACATCCAGATGTTTAGCAGAGACCCCGAAACTATTTGCCTGTCTCCCTTCCCCACCAGCCTGAGAGCGCCTTGAAGGCACAGAAGGCACCACAGTCCCCGCTACTCCCCTAGAAGTGAGCCTGGGGCCTGACCCAGGGTGTGGAGGTTATTACATAATGCCACTATCACCACCACCAATAACAACAGCTACCCGGCAGTGCACACCGCCTTGAACAACCTAGGTCAGTACAGGCATACCTCATTTTAGTGTACTCCACAGACACTGTGTTTGCTACAAATTGAAGATCTGTGGCAACTCCGTGTCAAGCAAGTCCATCAACATTATTTTTTCCAACAACATGGCTCACTTCATTAGTGTTTTTTAGCAATAGCATATTTTTAAATTAAGGTATATATGTTTTTTTAGACATAATGCTGTCCTACACTTAAAAGACTACTGTAGGGTGCAAACATAACTTTTATATGCACTGGGAAACCAGAAAATGTGTGACTTGCTTCATTACAATATTTGCTTTATTACAGTGGTCTGGAACCAAACCCAAAGTGTAGCTGAGGTATGCCTATAGCTTAATTAACTTCACGAACCACCTCAGTAAAGAATGAATGACCTAGAACTTCATGCAAAAGCGTATACAGGCCAGGCACGGTGGCTCATGCCTGTAATCCTAGCACTTTGGGAGGCCCACGTGGGCGGATCACCTGGGGTCAGGAGTTCGAGACCAGCCTTGCCAACAGGTTGAAACCCTGTCTCGACTAAAAATACAAAAATTAGCTGGGCATGGTGGTGCGTGCCTGTAATCCCAGCTACTCGGGAGGCTGAGGCAGAAGAATCACTTGAACTCAGGAGGCGGAGGTTGCAGTGAGCTGAGGTCATG